GCGCTGCGCTAATTTTTGCCATTTCTCCATCTTTCACCCGCTTTCCCACAGGGATCCTCACAATCTCCTCTCTCACATCGATTAACCCTGCTTCCTTCAACCAGCCAGCCATGGTACCAGGGCAGGAGTGTGCATTACCACTTTCGCCCTTCTCAAAAAGAGTTCTCATCGTACGATACAGGGCTTTAGCGGCGTCGCCGTCGACAGGGTCCTCAGTAAGATCCAACTCTCCAAGCTGGACCCAGCCGCCGGGCTTCAGCAGCGTCGGCAGCATCTTGACGGAGTCTTCGACGGAGGCAGATCGAGCACCTGCAAGAGCCAGACGCTGATGTACGAGGTCGAAGCTGTTGTGCAACTCGGCGGGCCAAGGGTTGGTAAAGTCATGCTGGATGAGTTTGAGCTCCGGCGGAGTGGATTTGGGGAAAAATTGCGGCATAAGATCGGCGCCAACGAGTTTATACGGGGTTTTGAGTTGGCTGGAGACATCACGAAGCCACAACCCTAAATATCGTTAGGGATTCTGTCCTGGATTCAAGCCGTACACAGCCAGGCTTACCATCAGCACATGCTGAATCCAGGATTGCCAAATTCGATTGGGACAAGTCGACCGGCGCGAGAATGAGTTTGCCTCCCATGCCATGTTTGATTATGCTCTGTTGAATAGTAAGGCGCCGCACTTCGTCATCGGTGGCTCCCAGAAGATATTCGGATTGTTCTTCCGCCATGTTGATTCAGTATGTGATGTAAACGAAAACGAACTCCAGAAAATTTCAACAAATTGAGAAAAGATTGCAGACGAGTGAGAAATTTGAAGAAGTCAACAAGGTAAGAGTGAGTCTCTTATATATTTGATGCGTCTGACGGAATCATTGTACCGACTCTTCAGAGGCGTCATCATTTTTCCAGCTGCTTGCTCCTTCCTGCTTCATTCACGCCTGGTGCTGATGACGCTCTGCGTGTTTAGAGGCAAAACTAAGTCCTGTCCCATCAATAATAGCAGGAGCAACGACTACATGTGTAGTTGGTGGCGAATTGGAGAGTTTCCGGAGACATTGCGGCCCCTGTCATGAGGCGTTCACGCCTTCAGCCTCAACCTTCGAGCGCCATGACTCGGCGCGAAAGATCCGCATCCGTTTACATCCTCACCTCTTCAAGCCACACAGTTGCGTGGGTATTTCTCAAAAGTGGCCTGAATAGCGAAATTGCGGGTACGCTCGAAGAAAGGTTATGAAGACTTTATGATAAAAGAAATCAACTGTACTCTCACGATATCGAAGGAGAAAGTTATCACCTACAGTGCTTATTTTGTTTCCCATAGGAATATACGACATCAATAAGCATAGCCAGTTTCGGCGGAAGTCCACGGTTTTCGGGTGGCGCGTTGTCTGGACCCTTGGAGCAATACCATGGTTCTCGAGCTACCCAATCACACGCTCTTTTGATCTTCAAGCTCATTCCTCACATCATAAAGCCGAGAGTATTAGTGTCGCATTATATATCACTTCCAGAATAGTTGACTACTCCGGATTTCAATGTACGTGATGTTTGTCAGCTGGGTCTATTACTTTGACCTTGGTGTGACGCGTGAAAAAATTTAATTGCCGATAAAACAAAATCCATGGCATGTGGATTTGCCGGCCACAATCAAAATATGGGCGTGTGAGTGCCTCGAAGGAAGGAAGGGTCTCACCAATTCGCAAGCAAAAGGACTCGACCCGGTTTCAAAAGTTGGTCAAAGAAAAACACCTGTTATCGAATCAAAGAATGCACGGACAAGGCAGCATTAAGGAAGCTGGCTATTTGATCATGTTCGAGGCTCCTGGACTCGACAATGGCCATACCGACTTTTGAAACTGCGGAATCTTAGACTGAGTTGCATCTGAGAATGCACCGGGTCGGTAGGAAGGGTCGTACGGTGTCTTCGGGCGTGTTCTTCGTTTCCTAGCTCTATACCGTGAATCTCCATCTCAAATCCTCGTCCCCATGCCACTCTTCATCATCAGTAACCTGTAACCCCTCTCGCGCCTCTGCCAACTCTTTTCTCTTATTCTCTTTCGAGAGGACCCACCATGTAATAAGCACAACCACGACGTTCGCACACATGTACGCTAGCGCCATTCCATGTCCAACGAAATATCTCGGGGACCAAGCTGGCCTGTACAACTGGGTGCCGAGGACCGCGCCCAAATTACCGATGGATATCTGCATTGCGTTCGCTGTTGCTCTCTTTGTCTGGCCAGAGACATTGTTGGCTGGCCAGCTCAGTACGAGGGCTGTTGAAGGATAGATTCCGGCGGCAGCGAAAAAGGTACCCGCGTATGATACTCCGGGTCGATGCGTGGGGTCCGGGTTCGTGAGCAAAATGATGTATCCGATTATCCCGAGAGATGAAGACAGGATGATAAAAGGCGCATGTCGGCCCACGCGTTCCGAAATCACAGCGAAGGAGATTGTGAGGATTGTTGCGAGGGCATATGGTGGAACAGTGAGTAGTTGTGCCTTTGCAGCAGAAAAGCCAAGATCAGTGATGATAGTCGGCTTCAGCAAGTCAGAATACGACTGAGCTCTGAATTTTAGCAGACACTTACGAGGAATAGGGAGAGAGTATAGAGTGGTAGGCTCATTGTATGGAATGCAAGGCAGTAGAGGTAACACTTCGGATCTGTGAACGCCTTAGAAACGTTGCGCCAATTGAAACGTTCATCACGTGTGGCATCCGAGTCGGCCTTTAGCCGTTCGTGAATGAAGCTCTTTTCGTCGTCGGAAAGGAAGTTCGCGTTTTGCGGGTAGTTTGATATGAAGTAGTAAGCGGTAGCGGCGACAAGCACCGTTGCGATACCTTCCTGCAAAAGCATATCAGTCATGGGGTCAATCTAACAAGGAAGAATTAACGATACCAAAATGAAAATCCACCTCCAGCCCCTTTGTCCTGCGACGCCATCCATATGTGCAATACCCTGTGATTTGGTCAGATGTCTGTGGTGGCACTCTTTTTATATGCTGCTGCTCACCCATGCCAGAATGCCACCGAAAGCTCCAGCGAGAGACGCGGCTGAGAAGAAAAGCGCAACGCGGTACTGCCTCTCTTTACGCTTATAAAACATGGAAAAGTAGTACACCGTACCGGGGAATAGACCACTCTCCGTCATTCCTGAAGCACGTAAGCAAAAGGGATTATGCAGTCAATGGATACTTCATACCAAGGAAAAACCGAACAACGAAGAAGCCAGCGAGGTTCTGGGTGATCCCCATTAGAGTGGCCACGATTCCCCACGCAATTGTCAGCGTTGGAAGCCAAAATTTAGGCGTTGTCCGTTTAAGAATTATGTTGCATGGGATCTGGCAGAAGATGAGAATTTGCTTGAAGGATTAGGTTCTTGGCAGTGTGTTGAGTCTCGACGGACCTCGAAAATGACATAGCCAACGAAGTAGAGAGTCAAGCCAGTGAGGTATTGATTTCCAGTCATATGGAGGTCTGTTGTGAGGCCCTCGATTCTTGCATTGGCAACTGGAGTTTAGTATTAGCAACGGTAGTCGTTTTTGGGTGTTGTGGTATTACCGTTGCTGCGGTCGAGAAAGCTGAGCAAATAGAGGATTGAGACAGCCGGAAGAAGCTTCAAGTCAAGTTTCCGAAGCAGTGATTTTTCATTGATGGCCACAGACTCTTCGTCTCTGGAGAGCTCCGACTGTGCGCCATCAATTGGTTGCGTCTTTTTTTCATCCAGAGCATCAGCCATGATGAGAGGAGAGTGAGGGCACGAAAGTTGGCTCAAATGAAGTGTAATGTGGCAGTAAGAACATATATCAAACATCAGCCCAAGGATGATGCAATGACAGCGGAGAGGTTCGAAATCGCGCCATGTCTGGTTCGATCTGGGACCGCAAATTCAAATACACATCGTCCAATCATGTGTATCGGATCCCGAAAAGTGCGGGCCTTCCTGCATGGGGCATGATAATGACAGTAATACTTTGAGAAAATAGAAGGAAGCACGGTCGTACTACTAATATGGCCTGGCGAACCTACCCTGAGACAGCGGATGCTCGAGCGTGAGAAGTCTCAAGTTCAGTCGTGGGATGGATCTATTAGCAGAAATTAATGGGAATTGCTCAATTCTATGTAGTCGTCGTCGTGAAGGTCTCGGACATGTTGTTCGTATGTTACCAACTGAGCCCTGGTAGTAGAGTTTTGATTAATGCCGTCGTCAGAGATACGATGAATTCCAAAATGCATGAAATCTGCTCGATTGAGATAGGCAGCTGTTTGTTCAAAGCTTGTGACCGCACGGTTGATGGTGGGTTCGTGGGTAGGATGCCGTCCAATAATGAGCCGACTTCATCAACTCACTTTGAGGGTCGATGTCGTGCTCGAAAGGATACAGGGATCCGTTTAAGGTGCGCCCCCGGTGGAATGGCAATGGGCATCAAAGAGATAACTGAATAAGTTTAGCTAATGTAGAAGCTCCAGGCAATTTGCACATTGAATATCTGTAAGACCAGTCGTTCACGTTGGATAGTTCGCTGCGTCCATGGAGGCAAAGTCGGCTGATGATTGTGATCGCAATATCGGACTAAGGTGCAGGTCAGATACCGCAAAGGATCTGTCGCACGTTACATTGGTCAGCCTAAGTTTGTGGGTGCAAATAGAAGAGTATAGATGCTTTGACTCGAGATCGTAAAGGATAATGGATATTTCTGAGTGTTCAAAGGTGAAGTCGCTGAGCTGACCGTCTGAACCCGCGGTCCAGTCCCATCCGCTCGCACGCACCGTCCAGGAGGCGTCGAGACAACGATTAATCACTGCCAACGCTCACTACGACAATCAAATCATTAAAATTTTTGTCAAACTGTAGTCTACACATACGAAAATAATATCCTAGATTTACAAAGAAATAAATGAAGGGACTGGTGTGGAAATGCACTATGAGTGAAGAGCACGATCACAGTTTTTCGTCTTGTGTTTATATACATTTTTGATGTTCCGCCTAGCATAATTCGGAGCCCGGTTAGCTCAATCGGTAGAGCGTGAGACTCTTAAGAAGAGTATCATCTCAAGGTTGCGGGTTCGACCCCCGCATCGGGCTTTCTTTTTGTCTTTTCTTTTATATTTTCGATTATTTATTTCTTTAACTCGCAAAACGCAGCTTGCTAGAGGTTTATTTCCAATTTTTGGAAGCTGGGACGAATTTTGCAGGTCGTGCGGGGTGCGAGACGGGGGTCTTGGCATCGCCCTATCAAATCGATTTCGCGACTCGATCAGTCGAAACTATCCAAATGCATCGTTAAATCATTAAAATTTGCTAATCAATTTGGCCTATTACATCTCGGAGATCTGCTCTAGAACCATTGCTGGGTTTAATCTGCGGGGGGCACGTTTACAAAGGATTTTATTCAGTTATCGGTGCCTCAGAATTTTTCCTCTTCTCTGTCTGACTTTCTCCAATCCGGTTGTTTATATTGCTGATTTGTCCGCTTTCTCCCTTGACCTTCGAAACAGGAACTTGTTAAACAGCGGGAGCTCGACCGTCCACCTGCGACATCGAATGCGACATACGGAGGAGCTAGTTTCCAGCGAGCGAACACTCTACGGAGCGACGTCTTCAAAGTCATCTTTTACACTTCTAAGAAGCTTCCTCGTATTGGTAAAGTTGCATTCGAGGTTTTTAGGGAGTATCTTACCCAGCCCATCTTAGAAGATTTGCTTCTCGATATCATAGAAAAGGGGCGCCGTTACAAGTCTCGTTCGCTCGCCGGAAACGATCTCTTTATCATTATCGCATCGGATGAATTCCACGTCCTGCCACCCGGGCGTACTTTCTGGAAAAAGCGACAAAGCTCCGCACCGGTGAGATTGTTTTTAGGTCTCCGGCTGGTGTTCAGTCCCTCTTCGTGCCTGATGTATTATATATGCGTAATGCACTGCGCGTGACATGCATTTGACGTATTTTGACCCTGGGGGATGATCTCCGCGTCATCGTTGCCGTCCTCTTCGATGACCTTTCCTACTTCATTTGTTTGAAGCCGGCGAAGCAAACAAAGGCTGCTCGTATTGTGATTCGTGGTTGAAAGTGACTAAGTTTTGCCAATCACAAAAGGTGGCTAAAAGAAGTGGCTCCCGCTAGCTGAGGCCGGCTAGGCTTGGCACTGGTCTTGCTGCCCAGAGTCGCGCTCCTGGACGAGAGCCTCCACCTGCTCTTTAGTTTTTATTAATCACTGTGTCTTGTAATAGCTGAGAGGGTCGCTTTATGATCTCTTAGTGATTTGCTACGTACTATCTACGTCCACAGGCCTAAGCACCTAGGTGACTTCACCCAGCCAGTATTCAGTCGTCATTCATCCGTTCACTCATTAAGATTCTCCAAACTCGGACCAATCCAACTTGACAGATTCCCGTATGAAATTCTTTTCCAAATTCGTATTCTTCGCTCGGGTGGAAACCGAACCCCGCTGAAGTGCCAATTGATATATAGACAATGAAATCCAAGTGGAGTGAATGCTCCCATAACGCCTTTCCCATCATCAATCATGCTAACTCCTGATAACGACGCCCAATGCAATCAGATTAATATCGCTCTACAGCACGTCTCTCAGCACCTCCTTCTGCTGTGCGGTCAGACTCGTCGGGAATTTAATGTTAACCCCTACAACGAAATCTCCCCGCTCGCTCGGCTTCTTGCTCTTCGGCATGCCCAGACCGGGGAACCGCTCTTTCCAAGTTGGAGCTGTTGGACCACCGCTGTGTACTTGGACCTGCTTGCCATCGATGGTCTGAATAGTCCGGCTCCAGCCAGTCAGGGCCTCCTTAAGATCGATTGAAACGTTGTGTATTATGTCGTCGCCGTCGCGCTTGAATAAGGGGTGGTCTTTCTGTAACCGAAGTTAGCATCGTCTCATCAGAAATTGTTGTTTGGTATTTGGTATTTCTTACCTCTCGAACCACAAAGTGTAAATCTTGCGTTCCACCCTCCACCTGATCACCAACATTGCTGTACTTGATCTTACTTCCCGCCTTCAAGCCAGGCTTAATCGGCACCTCCAACACCTTATCTTCCATCATCTGCTTGCCAGTCGCGGGATCAAACTTCTTGCTCTTTATCTTCATCTTCTTTGTGGCACCCCTGAACAGATCTTCAAGCGATACCGGGAGCTCTCGTTCCACCACAGTGACTTCCGGCGTAGGCGCTCTAGCCGGTCCAAACCGAGAAGACGTCCTTCGCCCACCGCCGGGACTCGGCCGTGCACCACCCATGAACGAGCTGAAAAAGTCTTCATCTCCATCCATCGAGGGTCCTCTCGCAGCACCCCCCATTCCTCCTCCTGCACCACCCCTCAAGAACTCTGAGAAAATATCGTTCGGGTCGCTGAAAGAGAAGCCGTTGGGGCCTCTCCCACCACCACTGGTAAAGTGGAAGGTCCGCGTACCGCCTCCTCCACCGCCCATGTTGCCAAAAATGTTCGAAGCATCGAAGCCTGGAGGCATGCCGCCGGAGAAGCCTGCACCGGCATCTGCTCCTGGCGGTGGGGCGCCGCCGCCCATCATGCCCTCGAGGCCATAACTGTCATATGCGGAGCGCTTCTCGGGGTCGGAGAGGATTTCGTAGGCTTGAGATACCTCTGTAGAAGAATTGATGTTAGCCACTGTTCAGGCCTGCAATAAAGAAAACGATATGAAGCCAGTGCGTACATGGGATAGAAAATTGTAGAGAAACTCACCCTTGAATTTTTCGGCGGCATCCGGGTTGTCCTTGTTCTTGTCTGGATGCCATTTTAACGCGGCTTTTCGATATGCCTTCTTGATGTCGTCTTGAGAAGCATCGCTCTTGACTCCTGTGATAAAGGTCGTTAGCAATCGCCCATAATTACCAGATGAATATAAAAGTGTATATGCGTACCTAATGAATCGTAAAGCTTGGTCTCGCGTACCATGATCGAGTGTGTAGAGAGAGATTAGAAGAGGGAAAAGGCGGAGTGTAAAACCAGTGTATAGATATGTCGTCGAATTAGAGTGAGGAGAAAGAAGGTTGGAGTCAGAGTAGCGGAGAAAGTCTTAATATCTCCGTGGCAGCGAGAGAGTGGTGCGATGTTGGGTCGCTGGGCGGCGACTGAGTTGCTTGCGGTCAGGAAAACAAGCTCGGTCTGTGATGCCGGGTCTCGTGGTGACGTTGAATGTGGGATGTTGGACCGTGCGACGCCAAAACTCCAAGGGCGATGGAATGTTCGAGAAGCTTCTATCAACACCAAATTCTTCAATTGAGATTGTCGAATTGTTGAATTGGTTCTTCTGAATGTCGAGAAGCTCCTATGAGTTTTATATTCAGCGCTGCCCCCCACAGACCGTTACTTCTGGTCACTTCTGTTTTTGCGTCTTCCTTCACGAACCAGCTATCAATGGCCCAAGGTCATCTATGGAAGAGCAATCTTCGCACAGAAACTTCAGATGGTGATTTGAAATTTTCTACTGGCCATCATAATAAACCGGCCGAACAACAGATAACAGCTTCCGGAGGCGTGGAAAAATATGCCTGTGTCTCGTACGAGTGGATAATGGAGCAGCTACAGCAACCTCGATAGCTGATTGGACGGCTCAGAGAAACCTCGGCCTGAACTTGCTCTGATATGGCTGAATCTTCAACTTGACAACTTCCATGGTTACGTTAATGTGTGTTATTGACCTCAAAGCTATAACGCGTTGTGATGAACCATGCATCATACGAAAAGCCCAGGCCTGTAAATAACGGAAAAGACTGGCGCGTGAAGATCTATGTCTTCTCTACAAAATGACCTTCCTCGCGCCAGGTAGGACATTGGCAATTATACAACCAACAAGCCAGGCGGCTGGAACACTCAGCGTACCGACAACTAGGGTTTTAAGCACCCCGTTCGCGTCCCACCTATCAAACAGAGCTTGCAAAGTAATGACGGTTGGGACATGAACTAGAAAAGCAGCATATGCATATCTTGGCACAAATCCCCAACTCTTTGTCGTAAACGACCATCGTCGGAAACCTCCTACTAAGCCAGTGAGGATCAAATAGCCAACCGTCTCGTTTAAGATGGCGTAACAAACTGCCATGACATTCAAGCCGCCTCGCGCTCGGTCTGAAGCATCGCCTTCATTCCCGTGGAAGAAGCCACTTAGAACGGAGGTGGCTATGGTTACTGCCCACAAACGTAGCGCGAGACCCGGTGGACGCAACTCGCCCATGCCCACGTCTGGCGTTCCACGTGAGCCGACAATGTGTCCAAGTGCATAGTATCCAATATACTGCGTGACATACCCAACACGTAGGTTTAATGGGTTCAGCACGCCCTTCTCCGATACTGGAAAGGGAATCCGAAGAAGAAAGGACGCGTATGCGATAGTGGCAACCAAAGAAAGAAGCCAAGATCGTGACAAGGCTTCCGGGGGTGACGATCGATTGGTAAACTGACGCGCGAAGAGCAGAGCGTATATGATATCGAAAATGAGTAGCAGAGCGCAGTACCATACTGGACCCTGTACGCCCCTGATGTTTTTGAAATGCTGGATCCAAATATCCGCAATGGACCGCTGCGGAGTGCGGGAGATGACGACTTGCAGTATCATCGTCTGGATCGGTTCCACAACGAGCGCGTATAAAAAAGTCGGTAGCCCAAGTCGAAGCACTTTGTCCTTGATAAATGCCGTACTGGATTTCCGGGTCGCGGACCTGTGGGAGAAGAAGCCAGATAGGAAGAAGAACCCGGCCATGAAGTAGGTCTGATTGAGCGCGTTGAAAGCGGTTAGAGCTGGATTCGAAGTACTCTTCGGCAGTTTATATCCCCAGCTCCCGTCGCCGCCATAAGGTATCGCTGTATGGTGGTATATGACTACAACGGTGAGATATGTGCGGAGATTGGAAAGATAATGTAGACGTGGAGAAGCCATTGTCTTAAGCAGACAGATTTCCACTTCGATGGAATGAGCGTCGAGTACTTCGAACACTCTTAACAACCTCAAGCATGAAGAAATAGAAATTCAGTCCTTTATGAAATAAACCCAACTCTACGTCGACAAATCGTATCGGGAGAGATCGAATGACGCGTCACATAACGCACCAGTCTT